TGGCTCAGTATTCTATAAGATAAAGCTTAATGGGTTATTGACCCATATTTTTGGTGCCATGGACCTGGTAGTTCATCCAGAGAAAAAGATGAGCAAGGCAGGAATGCCCATTTCTTGACTGCATTTTTTACAGCAAGAGTAATAGTGCTAATATCTCTTTAATAGTAGAGACAATCAGAATGGAAGATGTGAAATGTACATTAGTCCTATATTTGAATGACATGATTACCCTAACAAGAGTCCAAATCCTCCTTTAGCAGGACTGGGTCTTGTCTTTTTTTTGTTATCATTAATTTTCCTTGCGTTCATTTTCCCTCTCCTTTTTCTGCAGCAAAACCAAGATGGCCCTAGCTCACCAGCAGCCAAGAGACCAAAAAAAGAATAATTAAAAAAAAAATTAGGAAAGCCACTTCCACCTGATTGCAAATAAATAATTTTTGATTTCCCTTTTTTTCTACAGAAAATAACTATTAGCTAAAATGCACAATTTATTTTGAAATTAGTCTCAATTTGAGAAAAAAAAAACTCTTTCTTGAGATCTCATGAAAGTGGACATAGGAGTCCAAGACAAAATCATTTTTTCATTTTTTTAGTGAGCACTGTTTTCTACAAAGAAAATGCAACACAAATAAATACAATTTTGCACAGTCTAATGAAGGTCTTGTTTCATGTGTAAAAGTGGGGACTAGACAATATTGTAAGTTCATATCCTATATGTTATAAATTATCAACAACAGTGACTGACCATACACACCCAACTGGGAAAAAGACATTAAAATTACATTAGTCACCCATACTTTTAAAAAAAGTCACCCACATGGATTCACCCCAACACTTAATTATTACATGAATTTCAGTGTACAGTAAACTAATGGTACCCAAGAGAGGCACAAACTGTCCAAATTAGCAGGGCTTAAGTTTACTTGGGCTTTAAAATTTACTGAAATCTAGACCACAGGCAATCCTTAGGGGCTTCAAATTATCAAAGTTCTACTTATAATATCTAGAGATGCAGTAAAGACATGAAAGGCAATAATCCCAATTTTAGATTATTTGCATTTCTTGGAGCGGTCATGACCTAAATTTTATATCTTCACAAACATAAAGACTTGAAAGATTGATACCTAACCATCTGTTCCAGTCAGTATCAACAATAGTATGTAAATTTCCTTACAGGTATGTAAGAAAGAAAGAATGAAAATATTATTTGGAATAGAGAATTCACAAACTGGTTCAGAACTTGAATTGCAATAATACTGCAATTAATTATTAATCTAAGACATGTCAACAAAAAGGGATAATGAAAAAGACCAAGAAGATATTTCTCCTATTTGGCTAGCTAAAATTATTTTTTAAATAATAACCCTAGGCAGAAAACTTGAAACATGGCCCTTCTGCCACTTTCTTTTACACTGATACTGCAAATTATGTTTCATATCAAGTTTTGTCCAATCTTTCTGCCTTAATAACGGCAGACAGTTCTAGTAGCATTGTTTTGACTATACCTAAGTATAGAAACTTTTGCATTGCCTTATTTTTATCTTGCTCTTCATCTTAGCACATTAGACCATTTCCAACTTCCATTTCTAAGTAGCCCCTTTCATCCATTCAGTATTCCACAAACTCTTCAATGGGCATAACTAGGGGCACCTTCCGGCAAGTGCCAACAAGGCGAATTCGATAACCTTTTGTGGGATGTGCCTAACGGTCCTTCGTGAATCGGTGGACAATTTTAGGGGTTTTAAATTGATTTGTCTATTATTAGTAAAGCCAAAATAAGAATTAATACAGGAGATTGTAAAGGGACTGTAAAAGGGTGGGGTGTTACGCCCTTATATTGCCTATACGGAAATGTGCCGCTGGACAGGGTATGGTTTTTGACCTCTCCGTCCCCTATTGTGTTTTTACAGTAATTGCCAATAAATTCATAAATAGCTTTAAACACGATGGCGTTTTTTTCGTTTATCGTAAACGGAGTATATAATTGGCGTTGTTGACCTAAGAGGGTATGTATTTAAGGATATTTTTGTCCTAAACAGGGTCAGGGTTTCAAACCTCGGCGGTTCACCTATACCTAAATGTTGGTTGAGTAACCCCCTGAGGGGTTTGAAACAACAACTTTGGTACATTGTAGGTTAACCTGGTCAGAGCAGCTTAAAGCGTCTTTGGTAGCAAATCTTCACTCCAAATCTCATTTTATTTAACCCATTCGCTCCTGGTTTTTGGGTTTAAAAGTGACACAGCAGTCTTGACTTTTACTTTTCGCTTTCTCTCCTCCCTTCTTTTTTCGCTTTTCTTGCCTCATTTTTTTTTTCTCTTGCTGGGCATTTAGTAGGCTTCATTTTGGTGGGAAGAGTTTTTAGGAAAGCTTTTAGGATCTTAGGATTAGGTGAAAGGAAAGGTAGGTGGGTAATGGAACAAGATTTTCATGGAGATTTTCAGGTCAATGTCACGTGTTTTTTTGCTTCTTTCTCCGGTGTCCTTGACTGAATTGAGCTCATTCTGGTATGGTTTGAAAGATCTCTTCACTCTGCACAAGTTGGCGAAGAACGTTGTCCCTGACCGTTAAAACTGATGACGTCACAAAGGGTAGAAAGGACCTGGATCCGCACGGGCGGTTCAGGGGCGAATGGGTTAAACGATAAACGTTAGGTAATCAATCCGTGAAAATTGAACTTGAACAAGTTCATAACAAGCTGTGTCTACTGTCTACACTTCAGCAGTGCTTTGTTTGAAATTATTGAAATCAATGTATTAAGTGCCTATATGGTTGTTTTCTTTCATGGTATGAAACAACACATACAACAATTGAATTTGTTCAAACGAATTTTTTTAAATTCGTAGCACGTCTCAGTAAAAAATATCGAAGTTTTGTAACGTTCTTATAGATAGCAAAAAATGAAGGTAACAAAACTATGAACGCTTTGATTGTATTGGTCTGTTCACAAACTTAAATAACAGTTTCTTTTCCACTTTGTTTCACTAGAGTTCACTTGTCATTTTTTTGAAATTAATTCCTTAACTTTGTCCACAAAATGGTTGATTTGTTTAGTACCACAGTACTTCCTGAGGAAATTACAAGTTTACTACTTTTTGACAATGTTCCGTTGGGAGTTGTATTTCAATTGGACATCCTTTAGGCTCATAAGGGCATCTTCTATTTCATCTATGGTGCTGCTCATACTTGCTGTTGTATTCTTCAGGAGGTTTTCGATTTCATTTGTAAATGCAGTGAGCCAAAATTCCGATTCATTGTGTTCAATACACAGCTTGACAGAGCCTTCCCGCCTGAAATTGATGATCCTTTGTCACACTTTGCAGTTTTGGCATCTCACTGACTCGCCCGACTCATCCCCAATTCGTTTTTTGCAGAAGTTGGCATGCACTAAAAATGCTTAAACTGGCAACATATTTTAGTTGACTTGCAACGATCTCTCTTTCTGGATTTGTCAATATTTCTGGGCCCACTAATTTTTTGAGAGTTGTGGTTTCCTCACTGTACGTTGTATTCCTGTTGGTGGTAAGGAATTTTGATCCTTGATAATACCGTAGTGTGAGGTTTTGAAAGTAATAGGCCTTGTTGCTTTTCACTGGTGTAAATAACGGTTCCCATATGTGGAGTTCCATTGTGCCTGTTTCGTCTTCCAATATGCAGGTTTCTATCTTGTTTGGCTCCTGGGCTCCCATTGACAGAGTTGCATGGACGTTGACTTTCTGATTGGGCGCCATTTCTTTCAGTTCTCGTAAAGAGACATCAGACGCTTCCTGTGATGTTGATTCGGAACGTTCTGACTTGACAAAATTTGGTACATAGGAGAATGGTACATCAGCATTTGCACACTGCGAAACATAGGATTGCTGGTTGAAAAGCCAGTCGTTGTCTTCATCATCTGGTATAAGAAGGTTCTTTAACAAGACAGGAGACTTGGTTTCTTGGAAGTGCTTGATCTTGGGATGTTTTGTTTTGTCAAATCCAACTACTCTTTGCACTTTAGTCGGTGAAACTTGCAGGTGAAAGTCAAACCAATCATGTCTGGACATTGCAACCCATACTTGTTTACTAAACGAAAGAAAAGCAAACAAATTCAGGATGCATGATCATCAATGCGCCTACAGTGACAGCAACAATAACCCTATTATCATCATTATAGTTAACACAATAACACGTGCTATGCTATCTTAGCATAGTTTGCTTGAACATTTGTCAAGTGTCTTGAGCTAAAAAAGGTTTTCCATCTTTGCCCCCACTTTCCCATCACATCAAACATATAAGCTCTTTCATAGGGAACATCAACTTGAATAAAATTTTACAACTTACCCCTAGACTGCTTTCTTGCTGACATCATGAACTGTAATTTTTTAAAGTAACAATAATGTGTTAGCAACTCAGTTTACAAATAAGCCCATCTTTCAGTTACACATCAAATAAGCACCACAGTGAGAATCACCTCAGAAAGTTATAATATTTTTATACAAGTGGAAACCTGATTTGCAGATTCATGTAAATTGATGTCTACAGACTCAGACGTTTGAAATATGGCAAAAAAACAGCCATCCGGATAACTATACAATACTTCTTGAAAGGATAAGAAACGCCTTACAGAAACACACAAATCATCAATATAGATCCAACCGCTCTCACTTTTTAAGGCAACAGTAAAATGTCTATTTAAACACCTAACAAGTCCTTTGAGGCAGTATGAAACTCCTAAGGTTTCCACTTGAATAAGGTTCTGAGGAGTTTAACTCTAAGAAGAGCTCGCCTAGTTTTACTGAAGTAAGAGAACTGGAAAAATTGCGATCAAGATTAATAGTCAGAGCATGAATCCACTTTTTATGCAACATTTTGGCAGCCCTTGTCGCCGCCCTTCCTTCCATTCGCATTTATTAGGCTTGTGTACAAGTTGTACAATAATAAGCAACTTTACATTACTAGTTTACTTAGTATTTTTAGAGCTGAAAGGTTGACATCAGAAGGTAATTGGTTTGTTTTATTGGACTTACCAGCATCCTGGCCCACACTCGGAGCTTAAAATCGGGCAATTCCGAGCCATGTTTTCCACCAATCTTTTGTAGATGTCTGAAAAGTCGTCCTCCCCATCGTGCTGTTCACCTTAAAAGTTAAAAGGCATGCAGATAAACGGAAAACCAACGAACAAAAACTAGCAATGCAAACAGAGTTTAAAGGAAAATAGGTTCTTAACACCTACTTGATAGGCGCAATCTTTTAGCGTTGCTGCTGGCTACTGCCGTGGAACTTTGACTTTGACGTTTGTTGGCCACTCCATCTGGTGGGGTCCATACCCATATCACTACCCACTGTTGCTTCTCGGTGAAATACGCCTCAGCCAGGGTAGTTTCATCAACAATGGCAAAGCGAGTACCTCTTGGAGGGCCGTAAAAGCCAATTTCCAGGCTTTCCACGTTGGCAGCTTTGACTTTCTCGCTTACAATATAATTCTTTAGCTCAACAGCACTTGCAAATTTTGGAATTTGTTTTAACTGGAAACTTTCCTTCACCGCTTTCTTATTTTCCGTTAGGATTTTGGGACAGATGTTTATTGTCTCCATTTCACGGGTTACTGAGCACAGGAATACACAAAGTTAAACTTCCCGCCTACAAAGAGATCTACCACAATGCACTGCAGGCTATGAAACATGGATCATACATCATGAATCATTCTTCGCCGAAGCAACCTTAATTGAAATAGGTGTATGTCAACAAACTGCCAGCGTGTGATAAAAGATAAATGCCAAACAGACCAACAAGGATAAAATTATTGGTACAGTACTTTAGGGCAGTTCTGTTTGCATGTTCTTGAGTTTCTACTGCTGTAACTATGTGTAGCTGAGTTCCCAAATATCATTACAGAAATTTTTGCGGAGCTGGAAATGCTTGGGTTTGTAAACCAACATTAACTATACCTCGGTATAACGGACATTTTGGTAGTTTTTCCAAAAATTTGTGATATGGATATGTCTGATATAACGAACCCTCATTATAACGAAAATATATTCCCAGTCTCTTGGCACTTCGATAAGTTGTTTTTTGCCATCGAACCCCTGAAATTAATGACCACTCCAAAGTGTATTATAAACAAATATGATAATATAATATTTATTGCGGCCAACAATAGAAGTTAAGGGGTGCACTGATAAAGGCTGTGACTTTTGATGTAACAATTATCCTTTTTTTTGCAAGGAAATACGAAGTAATTTACTGGCAAATTGTCACGTGACAATCTCTTTTTCGAGTAAACCCTTTAATTATGGTTTGTATGATATCATCAAAACAAATCTTACTTTGTGACGTTCAGCAATTGCCCTGGTCACTTTGCGAGGTCTAGGGGCTTCACTCTACTCAACGTCTGCTGCTGCCTCCCTGGACTGAGCAAGGTGCTCGGTGAGCAGTGCATTGGCCTCTCTCAGTTCTTTGTTTTCTGCTAACTGGTGGAGACACTGAGAGCATTCTGGCTCACCCTGCCTTCTTGGACATTTGTTGACTGTTGTGCATATTAGGTTTGCCCTTGGCCTTTTCATGCCAACGGATGGTCTTACTGGAGCACTGTCAGACGTAATGAAACTACTTGCTTCTGTGTTATCGATGTCAGCTGCTGAGCTTAAGTCACTCTCATTTAGACCTAGACCATATGTAAACACAACATTTACAAATCAAACTTTTTCCATAGTGTTTTTTTCATTCCATGCTGGGGACCAGCAAATGTAATACTTCCAAACATAGACGAAATGTAGAGTACGAAATCAAAAAACATTATGTTGTAGCAGTGGATTGAATACTGAAACAGAAGTGCAATAAATAATTTATTGCATTATTAGCGGGGCTCCCGCGCGCGCGAAGCGCGCGTGGGACAGAGCCCCATACCCATGGAATATGGTCAACCTCTTTTCGTTTGGTTGTCACGTGATTGACCGAGCGTACGTACGTACGTACGTACGTACGCGTCTACAGATTGTATGGGTGGGGTAGGGGAGACTATCAAAAGGAAGGGAGGGGTGTCTCAGGCGTATCTTGGCAAGTCCACATCTTTAATATAGGACATTAACAATATGGTCAATTGACAGCTGTCCAAACAGGATAGCCACTGACCAGTATCCCATGACCATATCGCGGGCTCATGTGTCAACTCATCGAGGTGACGTAATTTATTTGGAAGCTGTCCGCTGACCAGTTAACTGTTTTACTAGATCGCGAACAACGTTCAATCTCATACTTTTACTAGTTTGGGAGCACAGGAAAACTGATAATGCACACATATTGGACATCAATGTTTTGATCAATTGACAGCTGTCAAAACAGAGTACCCGCTGACCAGTATCACTTGACCGTATCGCGGGCTCAGGTGTCGACCCGTCGACGTCAAGTATTTTTTGAAGTTATCCGCTGACAAGTAAACTAGTTTTCAAGTGATCGCAGGCTCAAGTTCAATTTTTTTTCTTAATTCATATGAAATATGTTGTGTTTATGTGCTGCACAATTAAAATTTTGATTGCAAACTGACCTCGGACGTGAAAATTCAGCCAGCTCTTACAAGCAGGGAAGACAGTTGCTTTTGTTTTTTCTCACAATGGTCACGCGTTGGTCACGCTCTACGTCCAATTTTTATGCTCTGATTGGTCAAAATTTGACAGGTGAGTTCATGCGCAAAATTTATGCAGCATCTTGAATCTTGTTTACTTTAACAGCTGAAGCTGACAGAGTTTTGTGTCAACTTGTGATGTTTTTAACTGTCTTTTTCCACTGGATGTACAAAATGAAATTCAGCTGCTATCAGGAGTCTTCTGTTACTCATGGCTAGTTTGTTTATTGGGTTTTTGGTTGAGAAAACGTCGCTTGTCAAAGTCGGAAATCCGATTTCGGATGGCATCGTTTTCGTTTTCACCTTGCTTGATGCGTAAGAGGATTGCAAAGTCTGAAGCGATACTGGCTTTACCTGATAACTTTCAGGAGCTGCATCTCGAATGGTAAGCCAGAGAAATTATTGTATTTCATGTTTGTTTTTTGTATCTAATTTAATGAAGTGGAGCGTGGTTTATGCGAAATTTAGTTTATGCGCGTTTGTAAGATTTGAGACAACGATCTCACCGAGTATCTGGTTTGATATAATCTTACAGAACTTTAAAAACCTTTAGACAGTTTCTCACCGCAAATAGAAAGAAAATGTTCCAAAGAATCTTTAGTTATAATTCTAGCCGGAAAAAGAAAGCTTTGAGCGATTTTCTTGCCTCGAGTTCGTCTTTGAAAAAACAAACACCGGGAAGCTGGCTTAAAACATAAACTTCAGCAAACTTAAGCTTGAAGCTTGAAGATTCAGGATATTTAGGGACACTTTAATACTTGTCTTCCTGAATGAAAATTGTTGTCTCTGTTTATGTTTCACCGAATTATATTTCTTTTATTGATTGTTCGTAGTCTCTCTTGCAATTTTAATCGCTATGCCGATTGTTTTCAGTCGTTCAGTGAACATCGCTTGCAGGAGTTCTCAAAATGCCGCGCGTTAAACCATCAAATAAAAAATAAACATGATAAATTCTTTATTACCTTGGAGCGTAACTCTGTTAATGTTCATTCAAACACTCGCTACAGCTCGCACTACAAAAGTGAGAACCGGATGGCCGTATAGGTGATTTTGGAAAATTCTTTTAACAGTTTATGAATATTGAATGAGAGCAATTTGTATTGTGAAATACTGCATTCTGTCCATGGTATAAAAGGTTGGTTTACACGCACCCAGATTTGTTGGCAAGATTTTGCAAAGTAAACTTGTCGAACGCCAAAACGTTGGCCTGGTTTTTTTTCTAAGCCTAATTGGTCTACGGTGATCAATAGCCATTACGGCTCTTAAATGTGATAAAAGATGATTACCAGTTTTTGAGTGTACATATGAGGCTATCAACTCGATGTAAGATTTGGTTCACTCTTGGGCTGTTTGCAAATTATTTTTCTCTAAAATCAGGTAGCCTTTCCCTCAAAAGTCACATAAATGTGCTCTAAAGTTAACTGAATTGTGGAATTCGAATACAAGTTTATTGTTTAATTTAAATTATAAATTTACTAATGGGAGCCTCGCTTTTAGCCCTGGCTAAATCTATATATTATTATTATTATTTGTGTTTATAATAATTGAAGATTTGCCTCAAAAACAATAAGAAAAATTTTTTTGGATTCAAACTTTTAAGATGTGACATCTAGCAAAGTTTGCTATGATTCTGTTACAGGTCAAAATTAATTCCCAATTTCCTCCCCTTGAGTACGAGCAGTTGGAACAACTGCCCAAAAAAATTAAAATCCCTTTCATCAAGGGCCTTATTCTTCTGGACTTTGTCTTTCTTCTTTTCATTTTTTTTCTTCTGCTTGCTTTGCTTTGCTTTACTTTTTTCCATTGCATTCTTATGAGCTTCTGGCTCTTTGTTACCTTTGCCTTTCCCTTTTCCTATGGTGCTACTCTTTTTTTGGACGTGAACTCCATTGAATTTTGGCTTTAATCAACCGTCATCTGCAGTGAGAAAAAAAGAAAAAACCTCCATAGTAAGTTAAAAGAAAAGAACATATGGCAGGTGTTTTGAACACTTCAATACAGCTGCTCTCAAGATTATTTTGTTATTCTTGGCTGGCTTGTTTATTGGGTTTTGTTGAGAAATTCGCCTCTTGACAAAAATAAGTCCAAAATCATTGTTTTCAAAATAAGCTACTATTAGTAAGCTTACTTCGCCTTTACCACACTGTCTCTCCCCTCTCATTCTGTTAGCTTCAAACCCCCATTTGAACAAAGCAGCGAGTTTCACTAGTGGCCGTTTTCTCGTGTGTACTTTTACATAATACCTCACCAATTTTCATGTTATTTCTAAATCCTGCGCTACATGTACTGTATGTCCTTGAACAAAATTACATTTGTATTTGTCATAAAAAGCTGTGTTTAATAAAAGTTACTTTGCTTCCAAGTAACTTAAAACGGAAAAGCACTGTAAGAGCTGCAACAGCTGCATTTTTTCAGAAACTCTTCAATCGGACTTGGGTATGGGGCTTTTCTTTGGCCTTTGATGTCAGACGTTGGAATTTCAAACTGGATACATATTCTAACATTGAAATGGTAAACTTCAACAGTTGGCCTTCATTCATTAGCTCACACAGGTTATAGCTGTCGTACATGATGGCATGAGTAGGTTGTATATTAAGAATGACTTCTTCTCTTAACTCAGTAAACATGACTTCAGCTTCCAAGCTTTCTTCATCTGGCTCCTGATAGCTCTGCGTGTCGCACCCTTGGATTCTATGTTTGGAGACTAAATGGGAAAAGTAGCTTGCTACCTGTTGACCAGTGAACAACTCCGCACTGTTGAACAACTTAACTACATTTGCATCTCTAGCGCTAAACATCGAGGGAGAAACCCGAGGCAGAGTCGACCTTTTCACCAGTTTGCTCTCCAGTTGGGAACTTGTTGAGAAGATAGTCTTTGTTTTTCAGTAAATCATGTTCTCGACGACTGGCTTGGTTTGAGAGCCCATCCCATAGGACGTTAAGGCAGATTTGGTGTTGTCTGTGTCTCTGAGCACTGTTGCTTGCTGGGAACATTTGCAGATTGTTCTTCTAGCCTGACCGCATAACCACGAATCGCTTCATCCATCAAAGTCTCCCATTCCAAGACGCGCTCATGCTTGCCACTGTCAAGATTTTCCTATAGGGCAGAAAACCGCATATGACTTGACACAGCCTTCCTTGGGGCAGACAAATAATTGGTTTGTAGCAACTGCTGATTCTTCTGACTCATCTGAACTTGATGTCACTTCAGGTTTTTCTTTGATCGACTTGACACCTGTGAATTTATCTGATAGCTCATCACTCATAATATGACGTAGTTTTGGAAGTGGGATGCTAGTGTCAACATCAAATTTGCTGATTTCAATTACTTTACCAGGTGCAATTCCATAACCTTGCAGGTTGTAGTAGTATCTGCTCCATATTCAATGTCAGTGACTGCACTAACACCATCAAATTTAACATGAGTAGAACTGTTTGAAGCTATCAACTCACACTGGGAGAATTAAGGCCAGGTATTCCTCCAGACAGTCTCGTGGTATCAATCATTTGACCAGCATTTTCAAAGTCATCACCTTCAATTAGATAAACTGTCATGTGTACTTTAACTGTTACCTCTTTCCTGTGGCACTCACCTTTTCCTCTGTGACAGTCTGAGAAGTTAAGTTGTTTGATGGTAACTCCATGGACGTAACCAGCATTTGACACACCTATTATGGTCGCCCACTTCTATAGCATCCAGCATTTTCCTGTCTGTAGAAGGCAGTATTTAGTGATAGCATCATTGCCTTAAGCCTACCAATAACATCTTCCATTATGGCCAACACCACATTGCTGTCTTGGCTACGGGATTGAAATACGTATGCAAACGTCACCATCTGCAGTTGCTGACTGGCCATGACCTTCTGAATCGCCACAGTAATATGCCAAGATAGGCCACACTTGCCATACCAATCGGTTTGGCTTTGTCAGTATTTATGTCGTAAGAACTTCATAGCCCAGTCTTCCACCAGCAACACAGAAGTTTCATCTAGGCTGTCTATGATTTCAAGACCGGTCTTGATTGAGGCTACATAGGAGGTGAGCTTTCCAAGCTTAAATACTGCAGATTACTTGGTCAGATATAAAGTTTACTTAGTCGTTGGCGTCTTCTCCCATATTCTTCTCAGTGATCCCTGCAACAGTGTTTTGGATCTCTACAAGAGCAGTTGTAAGTGTATCACAGCGGTCTCAACAGTCTGTGTGTCGGTGATCACAAAGGGTCTGGAAGTTCTGGTCCTTGGGGTCACTCAAGGCATACTGCCTACAGTGGTCTGCAACACTAGACAGCAGTGACAACAGCGACAACAGTGACAACTGTGACAACGACCACAAAGGAGACAACAGTTACAACAGGAACAATAGTGACAACAGCGACAACAGTGACAACAGCGACAACAGCAATAACAACCACAAAGGTAACAACAGTGTCAACTCGACAACAGTGACCACAGGAACAATAGTGACAAAAGTGACAACAGCAACAACAGTGACAACAGCGACAACAGCAATAACAACCACAAAGGTAACAACAGTGTCAACTCGACAACAGTGACCACAGGAACAATAGTGACAAAAGTGACAACAGTGACAACAGCGACAACAGCAATAACAACCACAAAGGTAACAACAGTGTCAACTCGACAACAGTGACCACAGGAACAATAGTGACAAAAGTGACAACAGCAACAACAGTGACAACAGCGACAACGGTGACAACAGTGAAAACAGTGACACCAGTGAAAACAGTTACAACAGTGAGAACAGGAACAATAGTAACAACAGAGACAGCAGTGACAATGGCAACAACAGTAACAACATTGACAACAGCAACCACAGTGCTGTCAGTAACAACAGTGACAACAGCCACAGCAGTAATAATTGTGACAACAACAACAGAGGTAACAACAAGACAACAGCGACAACAGTGAGAACACCGACAACAGTGACACAAGGACAATACTAATAACAGTGACAACAGCGACAATAGCGACAACAACCACAATGGTGACAACAGCAACTACAGTGACAATGGCGACAACAGTGGCAGCAGTGAAAACTGTGACAGCGACAACTGGAACAATAGCGACAACAGTAACAACAGCGACAATAATGACAACAGCAACAACCGGAACAATAATGACAACAGTGACAACAGCGACAACAGTGACACAGCGACAACACCAACAATAGTGACAACAATGACAACAGCGACAAGAGTGACAACCGCAACAACAACCACAATGGTGACAACAGCGACAACAGTGACAACAGCAACGACAGTGGCAAGAGCAACAAAAGTTATAACAAAAACAGTGACATTAATCACAACAGTGAGAACAGCAACAACAGTGACAACTGCGACAACAACCACAGAGGTGACAACAGCAACAACAATGACAGCAGTTACAACAGTCACAACAGTGACAACGGCAACAACAGTGACAACTGCGACAACAACCACTAAGGTGACAACAGTGACAACACTCACAACAATGACAACAACGACAACATTTACATCTGCTACAACAACCACAAAGGTGACAACAGGAACAATAGTGACAGCAGCGACTACAGTGACAATAGCGCTAACATTGACAACAGCGACCACAGCGACAACAGTGACAGCAGTGAGAACAGTGACAACAGTGACTACGGTGACACCAGTGAAAAGAGTGACAACAGCGACAACCGTGACAACAATGACAATGGCGACAACAGTGACAACAGTGAGAACAGTCTCAACAGTGACAATGGTGACAACTTTGATAATAGTTACAACAGCGACAAGAGTGACAGCACTGACAACAGGGAGAAAAGTGACAGCAGTGACAACGGCGACAGATGGTGGTTTTTGGAAGCTATCCTGCTTTTTTCACAACCCTGACGTTTGCACCTATCTCATTTCAAAAAACCAAGACCTAGGATTTTAAATCTTATGGATCACAATTTTTCTCTTCCGTGTTCAGTGATAATGGGAAACTATCGGTAAATCTTTTTTGGCTCCATGACCCACTTTTTCTTTCACTGTAGAGTAACAGTTTTGTGGAAACATGTTAAATTAAACATACTTTAAAATTAAGGAACATCACTGTGTACTATTATTTACACAAAATTAGGATGTCTATTAAAATGTTAGAAGAAGGTTAATTTAAGTGTTAAATGTGTGTGCACTGAAGTGTCAAAACTCAAGACTCCTCTTTGATCCAACTAAAGGAGTAAGTATACTCAGTTGAAATGTTTGCTAGAGATCTTGTCTTGTCATAAAGAGATTCGGGCATCATCATCAATCTTACAGTGAAATTGTCACTAAAAGACTACATTCTAATTGTTTCTAAATGTTTGGAGTCATGTTTTTTTTTCTTGGCACTGGAAGCCATAATAATCGCTCCTGTTAACTGTAAAAAATTATTCATGCGGGAGTCATCAGTAACATGGGAATGATTCAAGATGGTGGACAATAGAGAAACCGTAACGGTTTTTTTCAAATTTCGTTTATACACAAGCTGAGTCATAAAGAATTGCTGTACTAGTTAAGAATCTGAGTGGAAAAATACAAAAAAAAGAAAGAAAAATTTGTGTACTTTCATCCCTCAGTCTGAATGTATCAGGACATGTCACTGGGAAACTGGTTTTGGGTGCTGTTATTTTAAGATCATGGTAATGACACGGTACTGTAAAGGATTGTTACTGTGAAATCCTAGGGCTTAGGACTGCCACTGCGACCTCCACTTCGTACAAGCAATAATTTATCCTCTGTATTAGTTTGGTTGATACCCACTAAGCAATTTTCTTGAGTTAAGGTGTTCAAGGGGGCAAACAAAATGTGTAACTTGTTTTGTAACATTGCTGTAAAATGGGTTGGAAAGTAATAACTCGTATTTCAACACAAACGTTCAAACTTTGTGGTGGAACTAAGAAGGCTCACTGTTTCTTTTCAGTTGGGTTAAAATCTGTACATGTTGCACATGTCACCGGTCCAAGGCAAACTTGTTTTTAATCCAAAGGATAAACTCTCATGTATGGTACATACATATATACATACACGCTTTATTTGATATAGCAGGTTGGATTAAAGGCAGCCAGAGGCTGATGTGGACCTACTGTCTAGAGTAAAAAGGAAAATTACAAAACATCTTATAGAATTATGAGGAAAAAAAGGAAACAAAAAAGAAAAGGAGTACAGCTAAAACTATCTAGGTATATTATTATTAAATTGGATAAAATTACTTTGCTAAAAAAATGCGAAGTCTTGATTCTTAGGAGAGACCATACATGCTTCTTTCAGAAAGTTCTTATGATGACGTTGTTTTAAAAGGTTCTTAAAGTTTTTGAGGGAGGGGGACTGTTTGAGAGAGGTTGTACTTAGTTCCCAGACTAGTGGGCCTCTATACCTTAAGGAATTTCGGCCAATGTGCAGGTTGTATCTGGGTAGAATGAGTTGATTACCATTTCTGAGGTTATAATGTGGATTGGCAATACTAAGGAGGTTTGTTATTTTAACTGGGGTAATGTTACTATTTACTTTATACATCAAGGTTAGTAGTTCCTTTTTATATTGGTTGATAGTGGCTCCCTTCTAGTACTTTCTAGGGCCTCTTCGTCTGATATGTCCCAAGGCAGTCTATGGATGATTTTAGCTGTTATCTGTATTAATCACTCAAGCATCTGCAAAGTTCCCAAAGAGCAAAATCGCCTATTCAACTCTCCGGTCACGACCTGACATTCCCCTGCATACTTTATCCAAAATAAACACAAACCTTATTGACAGCTGCTCAAAAATACCAAACGTCCATCTAGTCAATCATGAAAATATCTTCTCCAAGGGAACTGAAGTGTTGCATGACAGAAAACATCTTAAAAAAAGACACCTTGGTTTGTTCGCAGCAAACTTAAAAGCAGCCATTCGTGGTAGAGGAAAACCACCTCGCGCCAACTCCAGCCAATTGTACCGATCCTCACTCTCTTCGTCGCGCTCGTTTCACACTAGCCCTTCGGAAGGCTATCCTCCCTCCAGCAATGGTGTTAGGAACATACACAGCCAAGTCCACCAGACTTCGCGGCAGCAACAACCTTTACCTTCCCGTTTCCCATATACAACTGCCTCGGGTGATGCCTCTTATAGTAATGCTGTTAAAAACGGTCACAACACCTACAACATTCTGCAAGCACCGCAACAGCAACAGAACTTTTCGCCGCAACACTACAATGTACAGAGCTTCTCACCGTCTCACTTAGCGGCAGTGGGACCGATTCCATCTGTTCCTCTCCAAAACGCCTGTGCTGTTGGAAAAGTCCCGGCAGTTGAAATCCCAAAGGAACTGACATCTTTAATCCAATTTTTTAAGACCATTGTATAATATCTTATACATAACCCACAACTTTCAATGCTAGTTGTTAGCTAGTTTGCCGGGATATCTGATTTAAGCTTTCTTTTCTTCAGGAACTAAGTTTGATACAATATGCCAGGGCCCTCAAGTTTCCCCAGCAAATTATCTTTTTCGCTTGGAACATTAATGGGCTATCGTCGACATTATTAGGGGAAAAATTGCAAAATTTGGATTGTAAAAACATGATTAATTCTTTTGATTTTGTAATTCTCTCCGAAAACATGGAAAAAAGTGACTGCTGAAGTAAACGGTTACAAGATTGTGACTACAGATACCTTGAAAACAGGAAAATGCGGACGTAACTCGGGTGGATTAGCTCTGCTCTACAAACTAAAGTTTGACGATTGGATTTCAGTGCAAAAAGAATCACCACATTTTTAATGGTTTAAAATTAGTAATCGTTACACAAAAACTACAAAAGACATTTATGTCTGTGGAACGTACATTCCACCATACAATTCCCGCTACTTTCGACCAGAACTATTTGAAGAGCTTGAAAGCGACATCGAGAAATTCTCCTCCCTTGGTTCAATTCTTATTATGGGAGACTTTAACTCCAGAGCAGGAAAACACCCGGACAGTGTTTGTCAAGAAGGTAATAAGATAATAAACGATTTTTCTGAATCTTCGTTATGCGCAACCCAACGAAAAAGTTTTGACAATGATTTGAATAACCATAGAAAACGACTCTTGGAAATTTGTAGAAGCGCGGATTTAAGAATTTTAAATGGTAGAATTAATGGCGACTCGTTAGGCAGACCTACATTTTATGGTAAATCGGGAATCAGTGTCATTGATTACTCCATATGTGACCAAGATTTGCTACGAAATATAACATCTTTTGTAGTGAAAGAGCCGAACAGTTTATCAGATCATCGTCCAATAAAAACATGGCTTAAGGTTAACCGCCATTTAGATAATGATTCATCAAACGAGGCAATTATAAATGATGTCACAAAAATTTAGAGCTACATTACAGTCTGAAGACATTCAAAGAATGATCCACGATTTTATGAATACTATAACAATCACGAGAAATGTTGACATGAACCTTCATGCTGTAGAAAATATTCTTATTTCAACTGCCAAACGCTGTTTGAAGATCAAAACAGCAAAAAAGCGAAGTTGCAAAATATCTTCGAACGAAAAATGGTTCGACAAAGAATGCCGCTATAAACAGGAACCGCGCAGAGGGAGGGGCTGGGGAGGCTTTAGCCCCCCCACTTTTTTGCAAGAATAAAAATAAATTTAACAAAAAATAATTTAACAAAAGTAACGGAGTGAAAAATAGCAAAGAATCGTTAATTCGAAAATGACCAGAGTTACTGGCAAAGACAAACGCGCAGATAAATAGACAGAATGAAGCATTAGTCGTTACAATTGTAAAATATTTTTTCGCTTCTAACCTAGCAGAGGTAAACGTCTTTTAAATGGCTTCTTTTTCCTGCGGACCTCTCAGGAAAACGCGTTGTTTCGTAATTGGTCAATTTCGATCCAAAGTAATAACTGGGTTTAGTTTATAGGGCGATTCTCAAACAAATTGTTTATTAGTTTCAACCTTGATTTTTAGAAGATCATGAAGTTATTGTTTCTCTTGTTATTGTGCGTCCTGATTTTAGCTCGATCAGCACGAAGTCCATCTTTTGATGTCAGGCTTCACGGCTCGTTGAGCATTCCAATTCCAAGTTTTGTTGAGCGCGGTCTGTTTATAAAAACATTTTGTCATCGAAAGTACTTAAACCGCAGAATTGTGTATAGCTCTGGTCATCAAGGAACATTGAATTCGGCGGTTATTACGAACAAAGAAGTGCACATGGTACACGGCAACATAAATACGAAGAGATCTCTTAAAATTTCTGATTACTTTTCCAAACAAAATGGAAAACTTTCTTTATCTGGTGAGTAAACTCTGCATAATTTTTGCTACTTTTTTCTGAATCTGTTCTATAATTGCATTTTCATTCACTAAATTATTTTCAGTTACCGTTTTGTTTTGCCGTGTAAATATTTTGAATGAATAATTAAACAATTATTGAACTCGGCTTTTGTATGATATGAAGATATACAGATCTCGGAGGGTGTTATCCACCGGGCTCAAGCCTTCGGCTTTGGCGGATAACCCCCTCAATCTGCATAACTCTTCCTATCATACTCAGCCTCGCGCAATAATTGCTCAGTAATTATACAGCCTTGAGTTCAAGGCAGCTCAAGCAAAATCGTTGGATTTCTGGCTTATTTATAATAATTAAAGGTTGATATCAGTAGTATAACATAACAATCTATGATATTTCAATTTAGTGATGGTGAATTTTCAGACCCGATACCAAGATCACTGAAGATGTGGAAAAAATCAATAGCTTTATCGTTATTCGCATTCTCCGTCACTTTAGAGAAATTGAATAGAAATCCACAAGCATGCCTCCCCCCGCCCCCCAAAATTTTCCTTCACGCATTCTTCTTTAGCCCTCCCCACTCGAAAACTTGCTGCGCGGTCCCTGATAAAAGACATGAACTGCGGAAACTTTCTAATCAAAAACATAGAGATCCTCTAAACAATACTCTCAGGGAAGAGTATCACAACGTCTTAAAACAATATAAAAACCTTTTGAAACATAAGAGAAACGAATACTATAGCAATAAGATCTGTGAACTTGAAAATACGGTCGAAAATTCGAACAATAAGAGCTTTTGGAACTGTTTGAAGTCAATGGACGACAGTATGAAGGAAACCTACACCCCTCCAATTTCTGAAGAAAATTGGATGTCCCACTTTCAATCTTTGCACTCGGATGAACCCCTTAATGAACAGCAGGAGGCAATTATAGATGAGTTGCAGAAATCAAAGGATATTACGACACGATCTCACTCCTTAGATTACCTCATCACTGACAGTGAAATTCGCACTGCAGCTGGAAAACTCAAAAACAACAAATCTTCTTTTTCAGACAAAATCAAAAACGAAATGATCAAATCTAGCCTAAACGAATTAATGCCTGTTTATCTAAAACTATTTAACACGGTCCTCGACTTAGGAACTATGCCCCAAATGTGGTGTGATGGCCTCATTACACCAATTTTTAAATGTGGTACTAAAAGCGATCCATCAAACTACCGTGGAATTTGTATTTCCAGTTGTATTGGAAAACTATTTTGTTCAATTCTCAATCAGAGACTTCTAAGGCACGTTGACTTAGGGATGCACCATTAGAAATGTGAAGGGGGGGGGAGTCCAAAAACAAAAAAAAAAATCCTGCAAAACAAAATTTTAAGAAAAAAAAATCCTGCATTGCAACGAAACCAGAAAAAAATATCCTGCTTGGATAACCAATGTGACTGCGACAATATATTACACAGTCTGAAAAATAAATCTGTGATCTGTAACAGGAAATCCCCTTCCCCCAACTTCCTAAATTCATGTCAAACTACATTTCAGGCAGAAAAAACAATTTCTACTGGCTAAATAGAGATTTCAATTTGAACCAACTCTGATGCCCTTGATCTCTATAGCTGCCATAGTATTAAATTAAGAGACTGTGGTGATAATTGTTTAACTTTATAAATTAAATAAACTTTTTTATTGAAATACTTTTGTTTTAATGGGATTAAAGTGAGATTGTGTTAACAACGTCAATAGTTCCACTTGCACGCAAGTTTATGGAGTTGGTGTTGTACAATATGCGTTGCTACTTGAATCCATAAAGTTTACAGCTATAAACAAAAGTAGATGTCCCAAAAACACCAATCACACTGCAGATCCCGCTGCATTTAAAAGTATTAAGAATATTATTTACCCAAACTAACACAAAATATTTTGAATGCTTTGCAAAACCATAAATAGAAATGGTGCATTCTAATAAAAACTTGAACCTAAACATATGGGCCACAGACATATGGTAGGATTTAGAGGAAATGTTCTTCAAGTTCTTCCTCTGTATCCCAGTCCTCGCCTGATGAAGACTGACATGCTGGCTGCAGTTTTACTTCTTCTTTTTCTTCTTCTTCTTCTTCTTCTTCTTCTTCTTCTTCTTCTTCCTTTTCTTTCTGTTTTTCTGTCTCTTGTCTTCCCTCAGGTTCTTTCTCTGTGTTCCAGTCCTTGCATGATAAGGACTGAGATGCTTGCTTTCCTTCTTTCTGTTTCTCTGTTTCTTGTCTTCCCTCAGGTTCTTTCTCTGTGTTCCAGTCCTCGCCTGCTTGAAATTTCTTCTTTTGTTTTTCTTTATTTTCCTTTAGAGCATTCTTCTTCCTCTTTCTTCGCAATACTTGCTGGCCCACACTACTCCCAAAGCTTGAGCGATACTTCTCTACAATATCTTGGTATTCTGTGCAAATCTTGGTAACTTCTTCAACCACTTTCTCTGCCCGTGGTATCAGTTCTTGGTAGAACTGATTTGTCTCTTTCAAGCCTGTAATAAAATTTAAAATATAGGGACTAATATTTTTTTTTTATTATGACTATTGTGCTCTAGTCCTGGGGGTACCCCTCAGAACATTCTCAAAGCTGACCCTATCTCATGGACCAAAATATTTGATATCCCAAAATCATATTCAAACTTGACCTCCATTAAAAAATCTGTACCCTATTTGAGACTTGGGCACTTTGTTGGCGTTATACATACGAAAGGCTTCATGGTCACATGCAATGACTTTTGAATGGGGATGGGGGAGCTACTTCTGTTTCCCCTTTTCCAGCTTTCATACAAATATTATTTTCCCACAAATGCGATGAGTCATTCAACAAATAAGAGATGAAAGAAATGGAGGTTTCTTAATGCATGATTACAATATATCTGCAGCGGAACCAAAACAATGTATAAACGAAGTGCCGCCCAAAGGACCAGGAAAATGTGTTTTTCAACTGTGGTTCTGTTTCATAAATTTTTTTGCAACTAAAATATTTGGCCAGGCTGAAGAACGTTGTTCTTCATATCAGGGACTTCTTCACCCACACTTTTTTGGGGATTTGTTATACCGAGGTTCCACTGTATATCAAAAGTGTAACATGTAGGTGCAGTATTTTTAATATTAAATTCTAACCTTCCCTAATCTGCTTTCCAGTTGAGCCATCCTTTAAGGTAGCATCCATTTCTTGTTTACACTTCATCATTTTCGCTTTTGCCATTCCAAGGGCATCCTCGCAACCTTCAACAAACTTGCAAAGATGTTCATAGTGCGAATGTCGTGGTGCTGATGAACTGCTCTTTAGTGCAACAATTTGCGGGTATTTCAATTCATTTATTTGTAGCAAGCCATAAACACTTTGTTTCTTGTAATATGGTGTCCACTGATCAATAACTGGGCTCTTGGCAAAGGCAATCAAAAGATCATTGCGTTTTGCACGCTCTTTCCTGCACCAGAGTTCACATTCCCTCATTGTATTTGAGTATTTCAAGCGTTCTGCAGCCATTGTCAGTACAAACGAATTTGAAAACATCTGGGCCGGATTTAGAGGCTTTTCATAGTACAGATTTTTAAACTGACGTTTCAAAGAATTAGTACTTACGAGTACGTTTCCAAGGCCATCTCTTGTTTGAAAAAAGCCTTTCATCCCCTTTGGCAAAGCTACAACAGTTGAACTGCTTGATGGTCTGAAGGCTGTTGGTGAAACTTTCTCTTGTAGGGATGACTTTCGCGCCTGCTGTTGTTTGTATTCTCCATACATGCGAGTCAGTCGCCTAAATTCGATGTGTGACAATCGTAGTGCCAAGGCATCTTCCTCCTGAATATCTTCAAGGTGGCCTATCTCACTAATACCCATCGTTGTAAAGGCTTGGTAATATTTTTCCAAAGAACAACTCTTCAACCACTCAAGAAAATAGCTTTTTCCCTCTTTGCCCGGACTGGAGGTATTCTCCACCATTTTGTTTTGGAGAAAACACTGGCGCACTGGGCCTGGGGACTATTAAAGGACGACATCCGCTGACCAATAAGTCGGTATTTCAAGATGGCTGCCAACTTCGGTGTGGCTAAAAGAAAGCACCAAGAATTCAAAAAGGCTGTGGGTTTAAAGCATGTTTCTGTGTCTCTTTGTAATACGAGTGCAGAGCAAAGACATTTAACATTAGAGGAATCAATAGCAACCACTACTAAATCTGCAAGAGATGCGCAGAATATCCTTGCACTTTCGCGCCTGTTGGATGAACTGATAGCCAGGTCTTGCATGCGTTTCCAGGAAGCATTTGAAGAATTTGCTGCCATCACGGAAACAATTGATAAGGTAAAAGCTCGCCAACAGTTCAAAGATAGAATTCTATCGAAACATGGTCTACCAGTTATCATTGTGAGTAATGCTGGGCAAATGTTCGTCATGCTTTTAGAGATGCCCTTAAACAATATTAAACTGTGCTGCAGTCTAGATCGTGTCCTTGACGCTGCAAGAGAGGACTCATCTTGTAACAGTTTTCCAAATGCATTAGCCGCGTCCATTCCAACTCTAATGAAACTGATGTCAAATGCGAGAGATCGGGCGATTTTAACATACGTCCTTGCAAACATTTTCTCACCAACAACACTGTCTTTGGTGCTTGGGATGCAGCAACAACGACTGAAAAATATCGTGGACGAGGTTACCCGTTTTTCAAGTAATGTAGAAGCTCAAGAGAGAAACGGGGAAATCGAAGCAGAGAGACATCTTGACAAAGTTATCACTAAAATAGAAAAAGACTTGGAGAACAGCGAGAGTTTACTGAAACGGAAGAGAGCAAGGTTAGATGAGGCGGAAATTGAAAGTAGAGAGTTTGATATAGGAGTAAAGAGGGCAAGGCTAGAAAGTCTTTACGAAAAACCAGTGAAAGTCAAGAAAAGAATTTCAAAGAGGATCTTTTCCACATGGAAAGGTACTTTGATGTCACAAAAGGGCAAGGGCAAGGGAGTGTACAGTATCGATCGTGGTGCAGAGCAAGCAATAAGTGAATTACTTCATGAACAGTTGAAGGCCCACAGAAGGAGATGGGGTGAGGAGGACACAGGCTATCTTGATTATGAAAAGAGGATCCAGTCTAAAGAGATGCGTCAGATTGCAAATCAGTACCTAGTAAAGCATGGAAAGAAGCCAGTAAAGAGCAAAGCAACAGTACGATCATGGGGTAAATGCAGGAACAAGCGCTACCGTCAAGCGCAGCAACACAGAGGCTGCAATCTTTGGGCCCATCTTCGTACACAAAAAAAAACATCGTGAAAGGCATGTCAATGTACATTATAATCGAGCCCACATAAAAAATTACACGCGATTTGCATTTGGAACACATGATGGAGCTGACAAGAAGGGACTTGTGATAAGGCGAGCAATAGACGACAAAGCATATGTCCGGTGTGGAACCTCAGAAGGTTTTTCTAGGCCACTACACACTCCCACTCAGCTGACTGGAGATGACAATCAGGTGACACTTCCATCATCAGATTATCCTGACACTGTTGGATATGTCAGTCCAGGGTGGTCCTTATGGTGAACAACATGAAGGAATTACAACATAAAGGACGTGACAAATTTGTACCCACTGATTTGTCAATTGGTGTCATTTGCAAACCGAAGCATGTCTACCCAAGCACAGCTACAAATTGGGCCAATGATTTGTTTTCCATCCGATATACCTTCAGAAGTGAACACGAAGTGCCCATGAATTCAGTGGCTGATGCGAATGCCAATTTCCTACCAGATGAAGCTTTGCCTTATCTTATTGGCGTAAGAGACTCAATATTTCAGTTTGAATTGATGTCATTGAAAGATGACTATGAACGAGTGGTCGAAGGAGGAGATCATCTGTCCAGAGAACAGCTCCGAGTTACAGTCCTTCTTAAAAGACTTGATATATGCATGACATCTGTTGCAGCCTACGAAAGATATCCCTTGACTGGCAAATTAACAAAAGATTTGGAGCTGCTGAAAGAACAACTGGAGAAGATAGGAGGTGAGAGGGGGGCTTAATAGAGGATTTAAAGTTATTTGATTTTGAATGGTCACCTGATTTTTATGATACAACATTCTGAAACATGTTTTTAAAACCTTTTCTGTTTGAATTCCCATTGCGTCATTCTGCTATAATATGAAAACGGCACTATACCATTTTATAGTGACTGACTTTATAGCGTGTAATGTTCACCTGATTCAAAGCCCTGTATATGTATACAGTAAATGTGTGCCCTACAAGTTAAAAAAAAAAATCATAATAGCATAAACATGTATAAACTTGATGCACTGGTTTGGTTCTATAGATCAAAGGCTCTTTAATAGTTGATAAATTAATTCCATTTGACATAATCCCTGTTCTGTTTAAGCAATGCTCTCGGATAACAAGGGACAGGACTACTGTGATATCAGTAGTTACTATGAAAGTGCCTGCGAACTGTGCAGGGGGATTCGACACAGACTGGAGGAAAATGGTCTTCCAAATCACAGGTTAGAAGTGAATTAATATTGTAAATTTGAAATAACTGAACATATTGTGAACAATTTTGTCACTGAAACTCCATACAATACATTGTATGATATAAACAGCCAACTCTGTGCAGCGGACTTTATTTTTGTCCCAACCCACCAGCTTGTAAACTGCTACTTTGAAACCAAGAGCTGTTCCTACAATGACCACTTTTAACATTGGCCTGTACATTCAGTATCAGGCATGGCCGTTTTAAAGCAGTTTGACTGTGTTGCATTAATATTATGTGCCACTGACCTGTTAGATTTATTATGCATTTCATTTTTGTTTTATAGCATTTCGTCTGTTGTTTGATTCTTTTCTCTCCTATATAAAAAAAGGATTGGCTTGAGTTTTATAATGTATCTGTTTTTATAGGCCATTTGATATTCAGACCTCTGATGCTGGCCCGGGAGTTGCGAGTCATGAGCAAATGACACAACTTCGAATGGCAGAGTACTTCATGATAAATTGCCTTGATTTACAGAGCAGATTCCATTACGCCCCCAATGACTCTGCATCACATATAGCTGAAAAGGTAATGCGTTCTCTAAATGAATGCCTTGGAGATGGGAGGTCCATACCTGTCCCCTTTCTGCCTTTATGTGATGATCAGGGAAGAATCAAACTAAAGGATATCAGCAATGAACAGCTAAAAAACCTGCAAGCTGAAAAGGAAAGAGACACTGCAATAGAATGTGCACGAGTCATTAAGAATCGCTTTGATGGAAAAAGTTCTATGGGCACATCTATTCATGCAAGCACCCCTTGTTATGAAAGCCACTTGCAGTTTTTTTTTGACGAAAAGTTTATGATCAAATGTGCAAGTGCGAGTTCCGAAACTGTACTTGAGAAGTGTGCTGGGAAGGAGTACTACAAGTTTGTCAGGGACTTCTTTCGTGACCATTATTTCCTGTTTGATAATGGGTTTGAGGGGATCAGAAATGGCTGTCGGAATAGTGGCAAGGTCTGCGAATATCATGCGAGGTATGAAAATCCATCTCTTTTGACAAATGGCTTTAGAGGTGTCCCCCGTGACTCGAGTGCAACCACCAGTTCCAGACTACTCCTTCACTGGAGGCGAATTTCACTATGCCTTTCCTCAGCAAATTTCATCAGGAGAATTAACAGCGAAATTTGACCTCAACAAAGATGAGCTGAGGAATGCCGCTACCAGAAAAAATAGATGAGTTCTGCCCTCGAGCACAGTTAAACCACTATATGCAATCCTATGGCACACCAGATTTACAAATGGCTGAAGTACATCCACAAGAATCCCTTTCTGTTACCGTAGTAGATAGGAATGATGTGCTTGGAAAAATGTTATCAAATGTTGACTACTTTGTTCAGACATATACTGGGGAAGACCTTAGGACATCAGTGGTGAAGGAAATTAAACGACGCCACAACGCCATGGTCAAGGCATTTATTGTAAAGAAAACCAATGCTAGTACGAGGGCAGCCGAGAAGGCTCGTACATATGATGACTTTGATTGGGAGAAACTAATACAGACAAGTCAACTAACTGGCCTGTACGTTTCACAGCTTGACCTCTATCTGATCAAGAACTTGAAGCTACCAAAATCACAATGCGAGAAGAAGGGGTTCACAAAAGAGAAAAAGATTGAAGCGATCAAGAAGCACTACTATGCATCTACTGGTCCTCCAATATCAGGAGCTTCAGTTGGAAGCCCATCAGTCCCACGCACTTCTAACAATAAAAGTCAAGAATTAACTAATACAGTGGTCGTCACATTACCAGATTCACTGAAGAATGAATTTGCCTCAAACATGCTGAATGTTCCTCCTTGGGGTGGAAAGATAAATTTGCCATACATAGGACAAATCACCCTGGTGAACACCTGCCCGATTGACAATTTTCTTACTATTTTTATACATTAATGAAAAACACAGAAAGGCTTTTCAGGAAATTTCCAGCTCAGTAGAAGTGTATGCAAGTTACCTGATTAAGATTTACAAGTTATTTGACAGAGGTAATTTTGTGGAGGGGAAATTAGAGTGGCTCAAGCTGTTTCCAGGACGCTTTCAAACAACACCACTAATAGACCTGTGGGGAAATGAGGAAGACCTCTTTGTGTCTAGACTTTATTCATCTTCTCAGACAACCTTCATCAGTACATGTGACTCTTCAGCCTGCCCTGTTAGAGTGAAGCAGTGTCATGCTAATGCAATAGCTTTGAGGTATGTTATTTAAAGTAAATTCTCTGATCTTAATTTGATATTAAATCAAGATTTTCAAGGCAAAAGTAATCACTTCACCATCATGCTTACGAAATTTACTTTGTGCTTGTGTGTGAATGTGTGTGTGGTATGTATTAATATATTACATCTTGAACCAAACCAGAAAATTCATTTTCTTTTGGGCATCCATTAATGTAATATTTTATTTCTGTTTTTATTACCCAGAGTATACATACATATACATTCAAATTGAGTGAGAAATATCCGCGTTTTTTATTGTTGTATCAATAGCCATGTAGGATTTCCAGTACCTGCATTTCTTGAAGAATCATTGCGGCAGTGGATGAACACAGACCAGCAACAGTCCACGTGTGGACTTACGATGCATCATGTTCCCCCTGGAGCAAACTACTTCATTTCCAACTGCTATGTGCAAGATCCAGGCACAGGCCAACTCATGTATGTCTTTCATTTTTACATGTACATATCTGTCACGTTACTTGTTTTATAAACTTTACCTGGTTCTTTTTTTTCCCTGCTTTTCCAATGCTTCTTATGTACAGTGATTGCACACTTTCCAGCTACAATTACATGTATACTAATTGTCAACTATTACGTCATATTTTAGTCAGACCCCGAAAGCATATTGTGGTGGCTTGAGGAGCAACACAAGGAGGGCATTTGTAAGAGGAAATCCCCCATTCCTACTGTTGTCACTTGACATATTTGCCAGGCAGGGCACCATAACTGATGTCACTCACCTTCCACAGATAATTCAAGTTTCAAGTGACAGGTATGTTTCTGAGGTTGTGACGGACATTGTTGGCCATTTCCTTGTAATAGCCATATGAGACTCACAAGTCATATTTCCAATGAAATAAACTATTTTTACTTTCAAAACCTGTAGTTATTCCCTCTTTGGTCTCACATTTTGGAATGGAAACCACTACAGGGGTGCTGTAACCATTCAAGATCAATGGCACTACTATGATGGAATGTGGGAGCGCCAATGCCAAGGTCATGGCCTCAAGAAGTGTGTCAACAAACCATCCACTCCTGCTGGCTTCTATATTTCACATTCAGTGTATGTCAAGATTTCGCTGCTGTGAGCCTTTCCCTGGAGATTCTTTATACTCAGGTTGGAAGTTCCATGTCCTGTGAACAGTCCCATTTTATTCAAGAAAATATATTTATTTTTATATACATGTATACGTAGCCTCTGTGCACCCTTCCCCCTCTCCTGCCTCAGAGCTTGTTTGAAGCATTGTGTACGGTATATTAAACATTTGCTCCACCAAATATCAATGTTCAAGTTTTTCATGTGCAGAGACTTGGAACGGAAAATGTACATGTACAATAAAAGGGGACTGTTCAACTATTATTTCCTAGAAATGTACAAACTTCTCATTCAAAGCGAGGACACAACATACATTTCACAAATTACTATTTTAAAGGCTATGTTCTATTTGTATTAACTCTTTTTGGTTGGTTGGAATTTTTTGTTTACTTTGGGTAAAACACCGTTTGATCTGCTTGTGTAGCTGTTTCAACTGCCACTGAACTCAGTTCGGACGTTTGAACGTATAGATTACTTCATGGGCAGCGCGGGCGTGCGGTATTTACGCACGAGTTGGTTCGCATCAGAAATTGAACGAGCAAGGCTTTGCGAGTGAGATCCAGAAAGCGAGAGAGATTTATCTGACATACAATGCGAAAAAAAGTCCATGTCTAACACTGCACGTGTTTAGGTGTCCTATTACATTATGTACTAAACATCTGTGACTGGACGAAACGCTTTTTTTCACGTGTGTGAAAGTCGTTTCGCCATTCTGATTGGCTGCGAACCCTGAACAGGGTTTTCACACGCCAAATTTCAATAGAAAATCTCAATTAGTATGAAAAAAATATACTTAAAACAAACGTGTTCTGTTGGAACACTACAACAAAAAACATTTGCGCGGTTGAAACAGTCTAGTAAAACAAGACCAAAAGAGGGCATAGTCATTTTGGAAAAAAAAAATCGTGCAAGGGTTTGAAGGTTGAAAAAAAAATCCTGCACTCCTGCTGGTTGTGAAAAAAATAACATGCCTTTCCAGAAAGTCCTACCCCCCCCTTCACATTTCTAATGGTGCATCCCTTAGATAATATACTTCACACGTTTCAAATTTGTTTTTCTAGCAAATAATAGAACAGCAGATCATGTCCTCACACTTCGAACATTAATAGACAAATATGTCCATTGTCACAAGGAGAAAATATATGCGTGTTTTGTTGACTTTAGGAAAGCCTTTGATTCGGTTTGGCATGATGGGCTTCTCTACAAGTTATCTAAGATCAATTTCCAAGGAAAGTTTTATAGTCTAATTAAGAGTCTATTGAAGTCTTTCAATACGCAAGAGGAGTGCGGCAAGGCTGCATTTTAAGCCCGCTGCTCTTTAACTTATACCTTAACGAATTAGCGTTCTCATTTGACAATGTTTTATCAGACCCCTTCGTGTTACTAAATGGCACCAGACTCAACTCTCTCCTTTACGCAGATGACTTGATAATATTATCGCGATCCAAACTTGGTCTACAAAACTGCCTTAACGTACTATCTTCATATTGCAACTCATGGATGCTTAGAATAAATCCTAAGAAAACCAAAATAATGATATTTCAACGATGCACTCGAAAATGTGAACATACCTTCCGCATAGGGAATGAAGTAATCGACGTTGTCCAAAACTATACTTACTTAGGGACTCGCATTACATCTTCCGGAAATTTTACACTTTCGCTTGAACATCCACGACAAAAAGCTCTTCATGCGCTCTTCAGCCTCAGGCGGCACACGGATTTGAATAGTCTTAAGCCCTCACTTGCGTGTAAAATTTTTGACTCTATGATTTCATTAATTCTAACCTACAACAGTGAAGTTTGGGGTGCTTTTGTTAAATCAGATTTTAAGTCCTGGGACAGCTCTGCAATTGAAAAAACCCATTTGCAATTCTGTAAACGTTATTTACAAGTACATAACAAGGCATCCAACATTGCTTGTAGAGCTGAACTCGGTAAATTTCCCATGATCATTGATAGAAATAAAAAGATTCTAAATTACTTAGACTATCTGAGAGGTAAAGATGAAGATTCTATAGTTAAACAGGCCTTACAAATTTCAATTGACCTTCATCATAACCGAAAAACTAGCTTTTACTCTAATCTCATGAAAATGGTTGACTACTATGATCTAAACTATGACTTTTCCTGTAATTCATTGAGTGACTCAATAGTTAATAGGTATAACGGCATAATGAAAAATAAATACGTCTCTTACTGGAATCAGACCCTTCAACAATCACAAAAACTCAGTTTTTATTGTACAATCAAAGACGACTATAGCCCCTCGCCGTACCTAGTTTTAACAAGAAAAAACCCTTCGAGAAAAGCATTAGTTAGATTTAGAATAAGTAGTCATCAACTTAGAGTTGAAACAGGTAGATACGAAAACATTCCTCGCAATGAAAGGATATGTCACTTTTGTACAAGTAACAAAATCGAAGATGAAAATCATTTCTTCCTAGATTGTAAGGCTTATTCTCAGATCAGAGACATATTTTTCTCCAAACTAGAAACTAAAATACCTGACTTCAAATCACTTTCACACGATACTTTAATATCTCTTCTTATGAATTCTTCTGATTATTTAATTAACTGTCGATTAGTTTCATTTATCTCGCAATGCTTTGAATTAAGAGCCAAATTAACATCAATGACTGAATGAATGAGAACTGTAACGTTTTGTAATGTTTTGCACGTACTAATTAGTTGAATTAGTACTTAAACTTAGACTAATAGCTTTTGCAATACTGTAATTCCTTTATGGCCATGCAAATAAAGCTTTTGGTGTTGTTGTTGTTGTTGTTAAAAGAACTCCGCTAGGGAGAAATCGTTTTAAAAACTGACAGTGATGGTAAAGAATATCTCGAGTACTTTGAACGCCAAACAAAGACTCGGACGGGAGAGGATCCATGGAATCAATGACCGATCAAGCCGCGAATGTATGCCAACAACGATGCCTTTTCTATGGCATAGTATAAAACCGGGACTAGTCTCTGGACTCTGGTGGACTCCAAATTTTTTCTCAACATTTTTAAATGAAAAAAAGAGAAAATTCAATTGTTTTTAAAAAAGGAAAATAAAATGAAAATAAAAAATTTTAAAACTTTCAAAAAATAGCGAGCACCGAAGTACTCTTTAATGTATTTTCTTGTATTAAATCTCGCTATATTTATGCGAAGGAGAAAAAGTTTATTTTGGGCGAGACGAGGAGTGTGCGACGAATTCTTCTATTCATGCCGTCAAACGAACGGCTAAGCATTATTCATCGCGCGTAAATACCATGCCATGTGTGCCATTGTTAATCGAAAGGAACTAGAAGGATTTTAAAATTCGTCAGTCAATTCAAAAGTTCTGTTACGAAACTGAACAGCGTGAATTGTGTCGAACTGTGTCAAGCGTCGAGCGTCTGGCAAATAATAATGGAAATCCGACTGTCTGCGGCATTTACCAGGACAAATTATACCATCTCGCGAGGCAGTCTAACTTGGCTTTGCCAGAATTTCCGGTCATAAACCCACGTTTTTTATTTAACTCGCTAGGTGTTTTCTCTGAATTTCTGGAATTTACCGGCTTTATCTAGAACCCGGCGGACACAACCTTTCAATTATAACTCCTGTGTAACTAAATTCAAAACAAACCTCCAGAAAGTGACACGAACAATAATGAAGCCCAAAGTGCCTTGCATAATGTTATCTTTTTCTCAGGCGGCATGTCACCTAATTATCGCGCGGTCTCAGTCCTTCTGCACTACACTCTTGCCGGGCGCTCTTGTTCACTTTGTAGTCGGCACTGCTCAAAGCGTGTCTTGACTTTCGTTTCTCCTCTGAGTTATGGATTCTTCTCCTGAACCGGGCACCAGTAGTTTTTTTTTTCAGTATGAGGAAGAGGAAGAGGCCATGCGAAAGGCATTGGAGGAGTCTTTGCTTGATTCTCGCCGGGTAATTGAGTTTACTGTTACATGTTTTACGCTAATAAAGGAGCCAAAGAAATGAAAATAAAGTAACCCTGATGGTCTCGAATTTATTACCCATGGGTTTGATGTTGATATATAGGCTACCGACGGAAATGTATGTTAAGAAATAATAGAACCTGGAAAACGGTCATGATAGTCAAGAGGTGACATATTCTTTTTTTCCCATCGTGACTGCTGTCATGCATTTCATGCACAGACATTACCTTGCTTTGCTTCTCTTTTGGTAGGATGTATACATTGACTCTGATGGTCTCGAAGTAATCACTCCTGGCTTTGGTGAGAGAAAAGCGATGGTAAGCATGTCTTTGCTTTTTTTGAGTTAAAACAGAATGATTTCATGTTAAGGACACATATGTAAGTCATCTTTGTATAGCACATCGCACGACCTCGAGTGAATTTCGTGAAAAATTGGTACACACGGAAAAGGCGAGTGCTATTTGAGAACTTTCAAAACATCTCCCCTAGTCAGCTGTTTTATAAAGTTTTATAAAATTTTGATAAAAAGTTTTGTAAAATTTTATAAAACCGAATGGCAATTCTGTATTGCAATTTTTATAAAATTTTATACATTTTTATAACGTTTTCCCATGTAAAATTGTATAAAATTTTATAAAAGGTATCAAAATTATATGAAAATTGTAAAATTTTATGAACAGACAAAATTGTTGTTGCTAAATTTTCTTTTATAAAATAATATAAAAAAATATAAAACCTTGCTTTGAGACAGAGCAGTTTCAAATGATGCTGCAGTTTAATTTTTCAGAAGTGTGCAAATGTGACATTGTCATATTGACAGGAACAGACCGACTGACTTTTATTTCCATTTTTCTTCCAAATTACTTTGGTTATTAATATACAACACTAAGCAACTTAAGTTAATATCATTCGGTCAGTTCAAGTCGCTCACAATTCATAAAAAATTAACATCAGTTTCATTGCAAAACATTTAACTTTAAAGACACTCAGAGTTTTCTAACTGATTCAATGGCACGAGGGAAAAATGGCTTATTTACCCCTTATAACAATTTTTTATATCACTATTGGATAAAAACATATGAAAATGCTATGAAAAACCTGTAAATAAAACTGTGAAAAAACATGTGAACTGTTCAATTTCACATGTTTTCTCACATGGCTTTCACACCTTTTTCACAGGGTGTGAAACCATTGAGACCCTGTGAACAGGGCATTTTTCACAGGGTCAGAACCTATGCGAAACCCTGTGAGTTTTTAACCTGTGAAAATACCTGTGAAAGACCTGGTGAGAAAAACCTCTAAACTTTTACTGTGTTTATCACGGGGTGGAAAATCTCAAAACCTGTGAACAGGCCTTTTTTCATGGTCAGAACCTGTGGAAAAAACTCTGAAATGGGAGGAGTTTACCTGCCAGCTGTATGTTGCCAACCCCCCCGCCCCCCAGAAAAAAATACAATGTTGAAGTCTGATTTCTGTTCCCAAGTCAAATAGAACCTCAACGCATGCATTTAAGCTGTATTACCTAATAAAATAGTATGTATTTAGCTAACAGTGATCCTGTGTGTTTTAAATTTGAAGGAATTTGAATCGGATCAGGAGATGGTTAACATTGCCAATATTAAATGTCTGCTTGTCTAAGGGGTTTCAATTTAACAGCCACGAGAAGAGAAAAGAGACAAGAGATGAAACTCGACTGTAGCGGTGCTTGTACGATATGTGACTCCAGTTGACTTGACCAGTCCTACTCATGGAAATGCGCATGGAAACTGGAACCGGCAGCCTTTGACTGCAATCTCAGGCACTCTTGACATGAATTAATCTCCTTTTCATGCATGGTAATTGCAATGTTGTTTTAAAATCACTTGGAAGTCGAATTATATTATTTTGGATATTTTCCTCAAATTCAGCGTCCAGATATATATAAGAGAACGGAAATTATTATCAGAATCATTGCATATATTTTACCAAGAAATTTTTACCAAGCGATCCTTGTCACAGTGTTATTGGACATTTTTCCTTTTCATCAGTGAAAAATTGGTCTAAAACATTAAAATTTACTACAGAGCAACACAACATAAGTGGTAAAATGTATCTCATGCATTCCACGTGGTATGGTCTGTTTTTCTACTTCCAACACACCTAAAGGTGTCAAATCCAAACAAAAGTGACTGTCATGAGAACATAGAACCATCCTGACAAAGCACATGTTTAATACGACAACTTACTTCTGATCAAGTCAAGTGTAGTCACAGACTGGACGAAAAGTAGCCTCTAAAAACAACACAATTCTAAGAAAAAAATGGGTTTCAAAACAACACCGTATAATTGAACCTTTAAATAATCAATAGAGGTGTGGGATATACTAACCGATTTTGTCTAGTAACAAAGGAATTCTATGCCTCAAAATAAAATTGCCCTTATTTAATCCCCTTAATAATTGTCTCTTTTCTCTCTTCTCCTTTTTACCAAGGAGAGTTAATAGTTAACAATATTGGGAACTTGATATGTAACTGACATTGCATCCTATTTATGAAGCACTAGGCAAACAACCATTTGATACTGGCAATTCATCTTGCTAGCAATGTTTGCCATTTCTGATCGGATTCAAATCCCTTCCAAAATTACTCGTAAAGAAACAGGAACACAGGTAAATACATCTTATTATTTTGTTAGCTAATACAGCGTAAATACGTCTAATTATTTTTTTAGCTAATATCTCACATAAAACTAGACAAAATAAATTGGATCCTGATTGATGATGGTCTTCTTAACTTAAAAAAATGTAGAGATACTCACATTCAGTAGTCTTCAAATAACCACAATCTTTTTGTCAGATGAACTGGCATGATATGAATGCTTTATACTGAGTGCTTGATTCAGCTTGGCCATCAAGGCACAGGCATTTTTACAGAAGTCTTTATTACTGTTCATAAAACGTATTTAACTTCATTAGTTGAAGAGTTTTCATAGTCAGGTAGGTAACAAAAAAAGTAGTTATTTAGTTTTGCAACAATGTGAAATAAAAATCTGATACAGAGCACAGATGAAAGGTGCTTGTTACAAGCTAAAAACGAAAAGAGAAGTTCTCAACTGTAAGAAATACTGTAACTATTAGATGGAAAGGTGTTTAAGGATTAAGTTTCAAAACGATGAGGGCATGCATCCAAAACAGTGAAATCACTGGGTTGTTAAAAACTCACCTCATGTCGGGGAATCCCGAATCCTTGGCCTTAGAATCCAAAAAATACAGCTTAGGGACTGAAATCCAGAATCAACCGCATGGAATCCAGAACATGTAGGACAGTATTAATAAAAAATGATTATGGAGCATAAACTGAAGTGTTCATTACCAGAACTTTGCTGCATAGTTGTTGTCTAAAACAATTTAACAGCTCAATTTCAAATGAGCGTACAACCTGTTTATAGTAGAAAAATAAGAAGAAGCAGATCGGGAGAATAAGCTTAATGCACCTATCAATGGTTTGCCCCAGGACGGGGGGGCCGGGCAACCCACGGGAATTAGACTTCGTAAAGCGCACGTGGGTGGGGATTTTGACATCCACAAAGGTCCCCAGGGTGGGAAATTTGACTCAGCCGCCATCTTGAAAAGCGGAGAGAACCTGGGAATGAGTGACTGGTCCGCCATCTTGGAAAATACCCAGAAGTCATTTGTGCGAGTTTCCCGCGTCCAAGGATGGCTGAAAGAAAGGTAAGGAGTGTCGTGTTGCTTTTTTTAAAGCAAAAACGTTGTTTTTTATGCCCATCAGTGCTCTGTCGTTAACGTTCTAATAACATAAGGTATTTTTCGTTCAGTTTTGAGAAGAAATATTCGCACAAGAGCTCATTTAGATCAAAATTTACTTCCTACTTACCTGTCTTCAAAGTATGCCACCCTGCCTCAAGTTTTCGATACTCTGTGTTTATAGATTTGCTAGTATACTTCAAATGTTAAATTAAATGAAATTCTGGTCAATTTTGGACCCGAGTTACAAACATCAGTTCGATGAAAGCGGAATACGACCTATTCCAGTCGTGGCATAGAAGATGAATCCAGAAACCTGTGCCAAATCTCACCAAATAATGACAGTAGTGCTTTATTAAATAATCTTATTTTTTGATACTTTCTATGTCAATTTTTTAATAATTCTACCCTAAAAAATTTTTGTCTACAAGAAATACAATTTGGAGTGTTTTGAGAGGATCTTGTGTAATCGTTGTTTGTTCAAATCAGTGTTGTGCAGCTTTTGATATAGTGCTACTTTGTTCCAGGTTCTGGTTGAGTTTGGCGAAAAGGCGTAAAGTTCTCTCTGTAGAAGAGGGCAACTGTATGGTTAAACTAATAAAGGATGCATTTGGAATTGAAGGCGAAATATTGTTACAGAAATTTGACAAAGAGTGGGAAGAATTTATTGATGTTGATTCGAGTGCTGTTGTAGAAGACAAGTCAAAGTTGCGTGTCATTTCAAAGGTGTGCAATATGTGATAGGATTTGAATATTTAGCTATTGTTGTAGTTGATTTATAAAGTCTGTATGATTTTCTTTGTTTGATTGGCTGAATTAAGGAAGTAACTCCAATCAGAGACAGTCACAATGAAAGGGCTGCCAAATTTCCGAATGATTTTTAGAAAAATATTTACTCATTAAAATATAATTATGTGGTATTTTGCTCTCTGGCCTCAATACATCTCTGTTGTTCACATTAACTGGGCAGTACCACTTCTATTGTGTGACAAACGCTAATTAACTTTGTTTGCTGATATATACAGCCGTCAAGCCATGTCCCAGCTGTTGAACCCACTATATGTGCGATATCAACAACCACAGGTAATCAAATTTATTGACACCTTTCATACCAGACAAAAGCTTGAACATTTTTCTCTACTGAAGCTGTAAATAGATAGGCTTAGAAAATCTGTTATTCTTCCGCCACCTTCGACGATCTGCACACTTCCACAGTTTCATGAATTTAGTAAAATAGAAGAAGGCTTATCAGGCATCTGCTAATGAAACATATTAGATTACATATGCCAGTAGATAAAATAGTGCCATTATAGTAGTAGTGTTTATTCTTTTATATTTATAGTTTGCTCAGGAAGTCAATCAACACTTGTCATAAACAATGGCAAGATAGGGATTGGCCCCAAAGTAAAGGTCAGTGATCCTTGTGAGTGTATTTTGTTCAATGGTAGTCTGGTTCAGTAATTTTATGGTTAATGAAGGAAATAATGCCCATGCCTGTCTGCAGCAAGTAATTACTAATAATGGCATTCCATTGTTATAAATTCAGCACTTTGAGTTTACTGAATCATGATTAATATTCATACATGACTGTAAAGGACCTGTTTT